CACCCCAGTGCCTATGGTGGCATTGGACAGAATGGGCAGCAGGAGGCCGCTGATGGCTTCTATGACATTGACCCCTCACAGGAATTTCAATCCTGCCAGTCTGAGAGCAGGGAAAACTCCATCTCCCTCAACATGCCTAAATTCAGCTCTCTACATGCCCCGGGCTCAATTTCTATCACATTCCACTTACCATCTGAAAAATGAAGGTCACAGTTCCACAAACCCGCACTGCTTTATTGAATCGGAGCTCCAAGTACTGGGTAGGAATACACAGAAAGAAAAGGTATCCTCCCAAGCCTGCCCTCCACAACACATACCCCTTCCCTCAAAGACCCAGGAGGAAACATCTAACGCATGTCCACTCTAAGCCTTCCTCAGCAAGGCACTCCCCGGACTCCCAGCCCCACCTGGACTCCATCCAGGAAGAACTGAGAAACTCAGGGGAATTCTCTGTCATCTTCCTTGGATGGCGGTGATCTAGGGCCCTAGATCACCTCATGTATGTCCTGTCCTCTTCTCCATTCATATCTCTGGAGGTCCCCATGCCTCCCCCGACCTTCCCTGCTCACCTCATAGGCACTGGTGAGATTCAAACGGTAGAAGATAGGGATGAAGATGTGAGCAGGTATCAGCAGCCCTAGGAAGTAGGAGCAACCCAGGAACCAATACTGGGTCCCAAATCGGTAGATCTCAGATGGAACTCCCAGGATGGCAACAGCTGACTGGAAGGTGGCTAGCAGGGACAGCGCCACAGGAAAGCAGCCCATTTTGCGATCTGCCATCAGCAGTTGGCCAACAGTATGGTGGCCCCAGCCACGAAAAGCATGGTAGAGACCAATGGCCAGGGAGAGAAGCAACAGCAGAACAAATACCACATAGTCCACAAAGGAGAAGGTAGATGTGGCCACGCTTGTGTCCGAGGTTGAGAGGAGGGGGGCTGCGGTGCTCATCGTTACACTCATCCTCGCAGTGTCTGTGGTCTGTAGCCAGGTGCTGCTCTTGGGTTCTGGGCTGCCACTCAGCTGGGCAGGGCAGGCAACTTACAAGCTGGCTCCCAGCCACGGTTATCACAGTCCTCCTCTTCCACCCAGTGACATGGTCCAGGGTGAGCTGCAAGGAGTCAACTTCTAGTCAAGCCTATTTTGTTCCATACCTGTTAGACTTGCACCAGACAGTGTGGCGATAACTACCTGTGAAGGCCTGGGATGGGCTGGATAGGGGAAATTGGAAAGGGAGGAAGCAGCAGAGTAAGAGAGCCAGGAGACAATAATTTGGCTAGGACCTTTGGGTGTGCAAAGCTATGAAATTCAATAATATTCTTGGGCTTCCACCTAAGTAGCAAAAAGAAAAATCAACTCTAGCTCCAGTTTCTTTTCAGAATTAATATAAACTTTGCCTTGTAGGCAAAGACCCAGTCACTATAATGTATTAAGCTAGTAGAGCCCAGCCTGGCGCCACAGCCTGCAGGGAAGAAGAAATGGAGAACAATGACAGCAGGGCTTCCCCTGTTCCCCTTGCCTCAGCCTCAGCCTTACCTCCCATGATTCCCAGAATCACCCTTCTAACAGCACCACTTCTCAACACTGCTCAACAGTGAGCTTGCCTCCATGGCAGCCTGAACTCCATTCTAATCACTCTGTGCCCTTTCCTTTCTCTCCAACACTACTCAATCAACCTGATACCCAATTTCTCAGACCCTCCACCTGCCCTACCAAGGTCAATAACAGATCTGGAAAGAATGATGGGATTCCAAAATGAGAGGCAAGGTGCCAGGGCACTGTGCTGGAACCAAGGATTGAAGATTATGATTCCAGAACCACTGTGGACAAAAGCTAACCAGCTGGGGAGAATGTTCACACACTGCTGCAGGCAGACACCTACCTGGAGAAGTAATCCCTGTTCTGTGGCAGAGCTGGGCAGAGGTGGAGTGTCCGGCTCTATAAAGTGGCTAAGAAGAGACTAGGAATGAGGCGTGGGGAAAAGCTCAAAAGCTATTTGTTCTGGTCCATCCATGCAGGGAACCAATCGCTGTGAATCAAATGGCCCTATCACCCCAACTCAGAAGTTCCAAAATGGGAAGCAGTGAGCTCATATTCAATAGCATTCCTAGATGGATTAGGCTTTCAGCCTAAGTCACTCTTGGCACCCTGTGTGTTGGAGGGAGTTAGAAAGGAGGAACTGAGAGAAAATGGGAAAGTTGCTTTTCTAACTCCCACACAAAAAATAGTAATCCTCCAAGAACACACAGAGAAGCAAAGATAGAATTGCAGAATTTCAGCATTTAAAGATATCTTAGGTGATCACTATTATACCCTCTCATTTCACAGATAAGCAAAGGCCCAGATTATTCAAGTGAACTTTTCAGAAGCACAGCCAATTGTTGTCAGAAGCCAGATCAGAACCAAGATCTAATAATTCTCCATCCATTCTGCTCTCCATAAATATCATCTTGTCTTCAGAACCAATGCCCTAGGAGTACTTATTGGTACAGAGGAAAAAACAGCAGAGTGTCATGTATTTAGATAGCCTAACATGACGACAGTTAACATTTTCTAAACATCTGCTATATAGCCCAGAAGTGTGCTAAGTGCTTTGCTCTCGTTAGTAACACTAAATAATGAAGTTATAATGGCTGATGCTTTCAAAATACCATTTCTCAGGTTAAGACAGGAATTTTTCACAAGGTAATTGAAACAAATAATTTGCTTAAGGTTATGCAGTATGATACAAAACAAGGGAGAAAAAAAATAATGCTGTCTAAAGGAAGAGTATTGTCTGTAACTATGGCAGGTGAGTCACCAGAAAAGATCTGTCCTTACTACTCCAAGAAAGGGCAGGAGCTGAGTGTTAACTATAGTCAATCATTCAAGACACATAGTTTAGATTTCAACTAATCTAGAGATAGATTAATATAAACTGTGTCTTCTGGTCCTGCCCACTGGAGGGAAGATCAGGCCATCCTTTAGCTCTCCAGTATTCTTGGGCATATGCTACCTGGTTAGCAAGGAATAGACTGAACCTGAACTTGGAACCTCCTGGGACCATTGAAAAGAAGAAAGAGCTGGCAATTATTGGGTCACATGTTTACAGTCACGAATGCTAGTGTCTAGAACAAAGTTCTGAACAGGTCACTCTGGTTTAATCTAAAGATGGCCAGGGCTTTTTTATGTTGCAACATCTTGAGTTTTCTTGTTCCTCTTTGACAATTTTTACTGCTAATGATAGAGATGATGGGAACTACTAGAAAGAGATGTCTGCTATGTGCAACAAAGAACATGTAGAACTAAATGGTTAATGGCACTGATAGGCAGGTGGTTACAGAAAGGACTGGGACACCATACTGCTGAGGTAAACTGATAGGCTTCCTGATAAAATTCTATTTGCCTGAAGTACAGAGAACCTTCCTGGATGGCTAAAGAGAGCCAGGAAAGACAGGGAAAAAAAAAAAAAAACCGGTAACAAAGCCTTCATCGAACACAGTATAATTCTAGGAACAGAGCAGTGGCTTTCTAAAAACCCTACACTGATAAAATCCAATGGACTTGCCAGAGAGTTGGAGTCAAAAGGAGGAACCAAGTTGTTTTACTAAAACTTCAACATACCAAGGTACAAACAGCTCATGGGGGCCCCTTTTAAAAAAGCCTTACTCACTTTGGTCGCACACTGCACTGGAATGCTTTGACTCCTACAAAATGTAAAGGACCCACTGTAGGATCAACTTCTCCAAAAAGATTCTCTCAAAATTTGTCTTGTGTCTAAAATTCCTCAAAGTCTGAAAAGCTTGGGGCTTCTTATCAAAATGCCAAGATCGGATTTTAACATCTTGGAAAATGTGCCTGCCATCCAAATGTAAAACGCAAATTCCGAAAATTCTCAGGTATAGGTACCTAGTAATAGATACCTGGGAGAACATGAAGGGAAGGCTCTGCTGGCTACTCGAGATGAGTTCTGGTTGGCTTCAATGAGCTTTTATTTTTTTTTTTTGGGGGGGGGGACGCTAATCAAAGCAAAAACTGTTTCTCCAAGAGCAGGAGTCCCCTAGCACCCTTCGGTCGGAACACCGGCTACCCTGGGATACTGCTGTCTTACCTTACCTCCGTTCTTCAGCCAGGGCTAGGAAGGTCTCTTCTTTCTTTCCGAACTCAGCATCGCTCCCTGTCTTTGGAAAGGCAAAAAAAAAAAAAAAAAAAAAAAGAGAGGGGGGGGGGGGGGGGAGAGAGAGAGAGAGAGAGAGAGAGAGAGAGCACGTCTGTGTTGCCCCAACCTCCTCGCTACGCTCTGGGACGCCGCGCGGTCTCAGGACTGAGGTGAAGGCGACTTGGCGCCCGGGGCGTTCCCAGGCTCGTGTCCTCCCACCCGTATTTGCCCTTCGCCCTCCGCTCCTCCATCACCCTTACCCTCTTTCTTTCCCGGCTTTCCCCTGCCCTCCACACGTGCCGAGCTCACCTCTTAACTGCTCGCACTTCAGACCTCCAGTCCCCACGCTTAGGGACAGTCCGCTCCGCCCCTACCAGTCCCTCCTCGTCCGCCCAGAAACTGTTCTGCCCAGCCTCTTCGCCCCCGCCCACTCCGGCCCGGCCCAGCCCACCTGCCGGGTCTCCACACGTGGATTGCTGGAGGGCTGGGCCCGCAGCGCCCAGGCCGGGTGACAGCGGGGCCCCGCCCCCTGCCCGCCCCAGCCGCTGTGCCGCCATGTTTACTGAGGGCGGATGGAGAGGCCCGAATCGCTACGGAGGCGCAACCTTGGCATCTGGACTAGCACAACGCGGGCCGGAGGGAGTCTGCAGTCGGCTCAGGGGAGCTGAGCGGCTACAGGGGCGTATGCCAAAGGGGAAAATGAAAAGGCGGGTGGGTCTGTCCACCCCGAATGAGCATTGGAGCGCACCGAAACTAGCACGGACCTCGTAGAGATGTCCGCCCCTCGGCGACTGGACCTGTCCGACTAAGCCACGCCCCGAGGCGATTGCACTAGAAGGGGGTGGCGCTCCGGAGGCGGGGCCCCGCGCTGCTCTCGCGAGCTGTCAAGGAGGGTGGGAGAGGGCGGAAAATGGCGCCTATCGTTCCTAGTAGTGGTGCAAGCTTGGTTTCCAGGGCTATGGCCCTGCTCCTCTCTCTGGGCGTGGAAAGGGCTCTGGCGCTACCCGAGGTACAGAAGCAAATTGAAGCCGGGCTGAAGTAGGGTTTGTTGACCCTCTGTGTGTCGCGCTTGCCCGCGGTTCTCCCCTCCCTCTGCCGGCTCAAGCTCGGATTTCCTCCTCGAGGCCTCCAGATCCTAGCCCCAGGAATACCCCAGACGGATCCTACTCCCGAGTACTCACAGTACTCACGTTGCCCAGGCCTCCGCGCCCTCGCCCTGCCCACATTCAAAGACCTATGAAATTCGACCTCCTCTCTCCTCAGCCTTTGAATAGTTTTAAATTCTTCGTGCGGATGAGTCCTATGACTCTTTTGCAAGCTGTCCAGTCACGAATGCCGTGCGTGGTGCGGTGATAGGACTATTCTTTCTGTAATGCTTGACGAGTTCTTTGTGTTCCTGCAGTCCTTTTACGCTCGGCTAAACTGGGGCTGCCAAGATGCGAAGTCTCTGGAGAGACCATAGTAAAAACCTTGTGTAGTAATCCTCAAAGTTAAAGATCTTTCCCCTGTGAAGACTGGTATTGAAAATCTGACTCACTCGTTCAGCGCCCAGCTTTAGGAGAAGAAATGGCATCTCCTAGTCCAGCCTGATAAAAATATATGACATGAGCCATCTCCCCTGCATTAGAGGAATTCTGGAGAGGTGTACTGGCAGTGAATTCTTGATCCTTGTTTGTTCTCTTGGCTTTTCTTTCTACAACCCTAATAAGGTTTCTTTCTCTTCTGCAGATATGTACCCAGTGTCCGGGGAGTGTGCAAAATTTGTCAAACGTGGCCCTTTACTGTAAGCAGACTCCGGAGCTAATGCTGCAGGCCCGCTGCTGCCTGAATCAAAAGGGCACCATCTTGGGGTGAGGGAGTAGAAGACATCCTTGGACACCGGAAAAGAGTTTCAGACCTAAATCTACAATCCTTGCCAGATTGGGTTTTGGGATAAATATTGGTGCCTAACCGGAGGCATCTAAACCATGATCCTCAAACTTTTAAATTTGTTATAGCGTTTTTGGCTAGGTAAACAATCCTGTGCTTCCTGGATGAAACTGCTTAAAAGTCATAGTTTGGGCCTTTTTAAAAATAGGCTTTTATGCTGGGCTCAGTGGTGAATGTCTGTCATCCCAGCGGCTCAGGAGGCTGAGACAGGAGGATCGCGAGTTCATAGCCAGACTCAGCAAAAAGCAAGGCACTAAGCAACTAAGCGATACCCTGTCTCTAGCTAAAATATAAAAAGGCGGGGAGGGGGGGGGATGCTGCTGATGTGACTCAATGGTTAAGTCCCTTTGGTACCAAAAAAGGGCTTTTATGGCACCATTTTGAAAAGAGCTTTGTTCTTTTGTTTATTATCAAGACTTGGGTTATTTACTGTGTGTCTGGAAGAGATTCTCCCCTTATTCTCCAAGACACTGCACTAATAAGGCTTTTCTTCCTTTTCTGATTAATTCATTTTTTCTTTACGACAAATTCCTCTTCCTGGCCCTTTTTTCAGGTTAACCCCTCACTCCTTGGCCTGGCTGCCTTTCTCCCTTTACACTTTTTTTTTTTGTGGGGGGGGGTCTGCCTATTCTTTTTTTTTAGGGGAGGGTATGGGGGATTGAACTCAGGGGCACTCGACCACTAAGCCACATCTCTAGCCCTATTTTTTATTTTATTTAGAGGCAGGATGTCACAGAGATGCTTAGGGCCATGCTAAATTGCTGAGGCTGGCTTTGAACTCTTGATCCTCCTGCCTCAGCCTCCCAATGTGTGGGGATTATAGATATGTGCCATCCTGCCCAAGAATCTGCCTATTCCTAATGGTTTCAACTATAACCATCATGCAAATCTCTCCCCAAATTAGGTATCTTTTAGTGACCTTTGACTTCTTCAAGCTCCAGGTACATGTGGGTATCTCTAGCCTATTAAACATTTCTTCCTGGGTACACTCTAAACTTCAAATTGGAAAATGTCATGCCTTGCTCTCGTTCTCTTCTTTCCCTAATCTACCTAAATACTTCCTGTGTTAAACTTTCTGAAAGCCAATTTTTTTCATTATCATCCTCTTGCCTTCATATTGTATGTGTAACTATTTCTTGCCCACAGGATACAGTTGAAATCATGAACTACCATAACTAGTCCCAACCTGTTTGTCCATCATTTAAATTACTTGCCCACTCAAACCCTCCATAAGGTCTAGCTCCAGCCAGACTTGCCTCCTCCCCAAAGGCATTCCATTTTTGTTTGTTTCTTCATGCCTCTTTCCATAACTAAAATTGCATTCCTCCACCAAGTTAGGACATAGCAATACTTAAATTCCAACATCCTTTGTGAATGCTCCCTACTACCACATCCCAGAGTAATATCTTTTCCCTTGTAACACTTAGTGTTTATACCATTCAAATTTCTGTATATGGTCTCCTATGATTTCTTTCATATTGTAATTTAATGTATTCATTTTTAGTTTTTTTTTTTTTTAAGTTATGCTCTTGTTCCCCTACTACATTGTAATCCACTTGAAGACTAAGATACTGTGTTATATATATTTTATCCTCTCCTAATTTTCGCATTTGTAGTTACTCAGTAAATTTTCCGCCCGGGACTGGTGATTGAACCCAGGGGAGCTGTGTCACTACATTACATCCCCAATCCTGCTTATTTTACACATCTCATTAAATTATACCTTTGGCCTCAAGCTTGTGGTACTCCTGCCTCAGTCTCTCAAGATGCTGGGATTACAGGTGTTCACCACTGCACATGGCACTCAGTAAATGTTTGTAAAATAAAGGACTGGAAAACAATAGATAGTGAAGAAAAAATAGCATGTCATGGAGTTTAATGTCCAGGAGTTTAGAATCCGTCGGTAATAGAAATTGCACTTGGAAAAAAAACTGTATGTGATACATTTTTTTAAATTTAAATGTCTTCTGTGGATCTGAGAATCGATATAAGATTCACTAATCTAAACAAGAACAAAATTTCTTCCAATATTTGCACAGTGCATAGAAAAAAGTATTAGAACAGTTTGGTCCAATAGAATATTCTGTGATAATGGAAATGTTCTAATCTGTACTAAACAAAACATAGCCACTAAGGTGGTTATTTCACATGCACTTTGAAATGTGACTAATGCAAATGAAACACTGAATTTTTAGACTAAATTAAAGTAACTACATATAGCTAGTATTGATTGTATCAGATAATGCATGATTGAAATGTCCACCACAACACCTAGTCTGTGGCTCTAAACAATTGTATTCAATTATCATTAGCTGAAAGGGGGACTGCATAATCAAATACAAACCTTGCCTTGGAGTAAAAAAAAAGATACATAGTTATACTAATTATTTTATTTCCTCAGATTGGATCTCCAGAACTGTTCTTTGGAGGATCCTGGGCCAAACTTTCCTCAAGCATATACTGCTGTTATCATGTAAGTGGTTAGGTACCCCCTTGCCCAAAAGGTGAATATGATAAAGTGTTGATAGGAAAATCTTTGGAGATGGACCCTTTAGAAAGTGAATGAATATTAATATTGGATAATCAGGAAAAAGATGCTTTCCTGAACAGTGTGTGCTTTGCAGAGACCTTCAAGCAAACCCTCTCAAGGATAACTTGGCCAACACCTTCCATGGCTTTATCCAGCTCCAGACTCTGTGAGTAACAGGATAGGGCAAATGCTACAAATTCAGTAACTTTGGGCTACATTTTCTTTTTCTTCTTTCTTTTATTTTATTCTTTTTGGTGTTGGGGATTGAATCTATGGCTCTTGCATGTTAAGCATTTGCTCTACCTCAGAGTTACACCCTCAGCCCCTCAGGCTGCATGTTATGATCACCTATGTTGTCTTCAGGGTACTGCCACAAGATATAAGCTGTCCTGGGGGTAATAATGCCTGGAAACAAGTTATCTCTTATAAAGACAACAAGATCTGCCAAGGGCAAAGGAACCTTTGCAATAGCACTGGAGACCCAGGTATGCTGTCTTATCTCCACCCTTCTGAGCATTTCCTTTCCTCCCTTATATTATCTGTTTTAGATCAGAAATATAATGATACTTAAGTTGTCTTTTGTTTGAAGATCTGAGGCTTTAACTCTTTGGAAAGAAAAGATCTTAAATATTATTATGTTCTGATTATTTGTATTCTGAGAACTAAGTTAAAGCACATATTTTGGAATAAACCTGATGCCATTCAGTGATGTTCTCCTTTCTTTCTGACTTCCAGAAATGTGTCCCGAGAATGGATCTTGTGCAGTTGATGGTCCTGGTGTCTTGCAGTGTGTTTGTGCTGATGGCTTCCACGGATACAAGTGTATGCACCAGGTGAGGATTTGATCTTCTTATTAGTAATAAAAGGAATGCATAGGGCAGGAACCTCACTGAAAGGAAAGCCACAAGAAGCTGATGCCAGTTACCTAGAGAAGAGGAGCTATAGGGGAATTGCCCAGAATGAACTAGGTGTTAGGATGTAGTCCTCTGTGCAATGAATGCTGTGTAATTTTTTTTTTTTTTTTTTTTTTTTTTTTTGGTTAATCACAGGGCTCCTTCTCACTATTTATGTTCTTTGGGATTCTGGGATCCACCACACTATCCCTCTCCATTTTGCTTTGGGGAACCCAGCGCCGAAAAGCCAAGACTTCATGAACTACACAGGGCTTCCTACTGACCTAAGATCATCCTGATGTATATAGCCCAGCAAGGAAGATTTGTTAACTTGACGGGCATCATTGACCAACGGACCCTCCTAAGTCTGAGGCTGCATTTGGAAGGAAAAAGAAAAATTGCACTACACCAGTGTTGGACACTCTTGAGTCAGGAATGAACCAGTACCAGTTCCCATTTGTGCTGTTAACTACAATAAACATTAAAAAAAAAAAAAAGAAGAAGAAGAACTTTTCCCCTTTTTTTCCCCTCTCTTTTTTCTTTTTTACATTTTAGGGAAAGGCGGCTAGTCTTTCGTGTTTCTTGCTTGGGGGGCAGCTTCGTGGAGGCCGGGTTTTTCAGGTCTCGCTGGTTTGGCGCAGCGGGGACAACGCGGGCGCACCTCGAGCCCCGCCCCGAACGTGCCCGGCCCCGCCCCTCACGCTGCCTGCTGCTCGCGCCGCCGCAGTCGTGCAGTAGCGGAGCGCGCCCAGGGCTCTTACCTCGCGGCGCCCGCCTTCTCTCTAGCGCTCTGTGCTGCTAGCCACGTGGACCGACTCCGGCGCGCCGCCCTCGCGTGGTTCCAGTGGGGCGTGCAGCGCCTCCTGCGTCTCTGGGTTCACCCCTGCTTCAGCTCGGTTCCCATGGCGGCCCTGGTGTTGGAGGACGGGTCAGTGCTGCGGGGCCGGCCCTTCGGGGCCGCTGTGTCGACTGCCGGGGAAGTGGGTAAGCAAGCCCGGGCGGGCTGCCGACCGCATCCCCTCAGATGCCCTTCTACCCAACCCGCGGTGCGCAGGCCCCACCTACACACTCCCTCATCCCCATCCGTGCCACGGCCCCGGCCCTTTCACCCCTCACTACCAAGGCAGCCTCCACGAGGGTAACCTCCGCTCTGGCGGTGTTGTGAAGGGTGCCCTTGCCGGAGTCCAGCCGTGCCTCTTTTTGCAGTGTTTCAAACCGGCATGGTCGGCTACCCCGAAGCTCTCACTGACCCTTCCTACAAAGCACAAATCTTAGTGCTGACATATCCTCTGATCGGCAACTATGGCATCCCCCCAGATGAAGTGGATGAGTTCGGCCTCCGAAAGGTAGCCACGCCCAATCCTTTCTCTCTACATTTCTTTTCAAATCAGTAGTTGTTGGTGAAGTGACGACATTGACACCCTGCTAGGCATCCTGGAAAGAACAAAGATACCCGTTGAAGTGGTAAATACTAAGACAACTGTAGGTAGGGGTTGTTAAGTACCTGGAGAAGCGCAGAGTGCAATATTTTGTCTGTAGTGAAGGCATGGAGCCAGGAAAGTGGCAAAGGTTTGGGAGAACAGTTGTCCAAATAGCTAGGAATGCAGAAATAAAAGTCCTACAGATAGGTTGTAGTGAGTCTGGAGGGCTTGAAGCCAAACCAATTTGAGCTTAATTTTTTAAGGAACCAGCAAAGGATTTATAACAGTAGAATCATGTGAGGAGAGCTGGGCTCCGGCATTACATAAATTAATAGGAGATTGGAAAGGGTCATGCCTTTCTGGGTGACAGTGAGTACTAGTTTACCTAAAAAACCAGTGACATTGATTATTATCCTTTAGACTTCTTACATTGCCTTTTCTCATTTTCTACTTTTCAAGTGTTTTTATTCTAAATTATAAAATTGAGTCTCCTGCTAGAGTGAGATTTCCCTAGTCTTTCTCCTTGGAATTTGGAAACTAAGTTGCCCTCTGAGAGTTCAAGTAAAAAAAAAAAAAAGAACCAACACATAGCAGTTAGGTAATAGTGGAAGTCACCATAGCCTAGATTCATTATTCCTCAAAACTTACTTTGGCCTGATTCTAGGCTTGCTGAGCCTTTGATTCTTGATTTGCTCTCCTGGCAAAAGGGAGCACTGAATAAGAGATACTCTCATTGTTATTCCTGAAAAGAACCCTTCTTCATTATAAACCTTTAAACACACTGAATTCTAGTTTATAATGCAATATCTTGTGAATTTGGTTAACATATGTCAGTCATCAACTTTATCAGCTGTGGACACACTGACAAAATTGAGTTTATAAAACTGCAAAATTGAGATCCTGATAGGGTCAGTGGAAGTGAGGCCTCCTAAAACCTTAGCCTAACACTGATACTTTTGTGGCATGTGTGCTGTAAATGGACTTGCACATGTGTGGATTAAATCCATCTTCCTTTAAACCCTTCACCATTGAGCTGAATGTGATTTAAGTGTGCTACTCCCTCCCCCAGAAACTTTGTTTTGTTATTATTTATTGAGTAACAAAGTTGTGTTATACTTTTTTAAATGATAATCCCTAATAAAGTGGGAAAAGAATATGATATGTCTAGTATTGTACTATGCAACTTATTTTTTTTATCACACTATGTAATTAACATTTATTTATATGTTTCTGGCTCCCTAAATCAGAAATTAACATCATGAAGATAGGAACCTCTTCTTTTTGTACTCCCTGCTTTTCCCCAGCATCTATTAAAATGCTTGCACTTAGTGAACATTTAGTAAATGTTTATTAACTGATACTGTGTGGTCAGACATAAATACATATTCACAATACAATGTAAATGGCAAGAAGGGAAGGTGTTCGGTGAAATCTTAGAAGGAGGCATAGCTATAGTGGGTGAATGGGAATTCCTTCACAGAAAAGAGGATTTGTGAACTCAATTTTGGATAAGGGAAAAGCAGATTGTCATTTTCAGCAATCAGGCATGTTGAGCCTGTATATTCAGTATTTTCTATAGTGCACAGCAAAGTTGGTAAAGGAACTATCCGTGCAAAAGCATAAAATACTAGGTATATTGAAGGAATGACAGGTCAAGTTGTGGTCAAGTGGTGGTCAAGTTGAAGGTCTATGGCCAGACAGTGGGGGCAAATGCTGTAGGGAGATAGTTAGCCCCAAGCTCTTCACCTTCTCCTCTTTTCGTCTGTAGTGGTTCGAATCCTCGAAGATCCATGTGGCAGGACTGGTGGTGGGAGAGTGCTGCCCCACACCTAGCCACTGGAGTGCCACCTGCACCCTGCATGAATGGCTGCAGCAGCATGGCATTCCTGGCCTGCAAGGTATGGTGACAGGCCACTGGTGTGTCACAACAGAGCATAGTGTGCCTAGATGGAAAGAATCAGAAGGTTTCTGAAGTCTTTCAGAACCAAGGTCTAAGGTGACAGAAAGTGTCAAAGGTTTAGATTGGCATTTGGGGCTTGGGGAAGAAACTGAGCTATCACTCAAATGGAAAATTTCCATTATACAAAGGAAAGAATAGTATAATGAATTCCATAATCATCCACTCAAGACTGATCTTATTTCATCACCACTGTTACCATCCCTAGGTTATTTTAAAGCAAATCTCAAACATATCACTTTTTTAAAACTTACACACACACACACACACACATTTTAGTTGTAGGTGGACACAATACCTATATTTTATTTTTATGTGGTGCTGAGGATTGAACCCAGTGCCTCATGTGTGCTAGGCAAGTGCTCTACACTGAGCCACAACCCCAGTCCTCAAACATCATATCATTTCATCTACAGTAGTTTAATGTCTACGAGAAAGAAATTTTTTTTTAAAATGACTAATGCTGTTATATTTTTTAAAAATCCATTCCTTATATGCAGATAATGTTGAAAATTTCCTCAGGTCAGGAATTTCTTTTAACTATTTGTTTATTTGAATTTGGCTCTAAACAAAGTTCATATGCTACATTTGGTTGCTATTACTTAAATGTAATCTATGGACCTTTAACCTATTTGAGGAAAACAGGTCATTTTTCCCTAGGAATATTCCATAGTTTGTTGGCTATATTCATATAGTGAAAGTTATCATATCGTTTTTCCTTGTGGAATTAACTTTCTATAATTGGATTGATCTAGAATTGTGATTCAATTCAGATGTGATATTCAGGGCACAAATACTTCATGGTAGTGTCCTTTGATCAGGAGTTTTTTTTTTTTTTTTTTTTTAATGTAAATGGACACAATACCTTTATTTTTATGTGGTACTGAGGTGCTAAGCAGGCATCCTACCACTAAGCTACAACCTCAGCTGTTTGACCAGGATTTTGATGCCCATAAAATAGTGGTGTGTGACTTAGGTCTCTGGAATGAAAGTGCTCCTGGATGACTTAGTTGGGGGAGTGTGATCTCTGAGACTATGCTATTTTTATAGGAGTGGACACTCGGGAGCTGACTAAGAAGTTGCGGGAACAAGGGTCTCTGCTTGGGAAGTTGATCCAGGATGGGACTGAGCCTTCAGCCCTGCAATTCTTGGACCCCAATGCCCGGCCCCTGGTGCCAGAGGTCTCCATTAAGGTACAAAGGGACAGCAGAATTTTGTAAGTGGAAGCATGTTGGTTATTTTCTGCCCACAACTGGGATAAATACGTGAGGGTGAATCAGGGGGACCTCAAAGGTAGGGGTTGGTTGGGGCACACCTTATACCTGCTGATCATAGCAGCCAACTGTTGTTGCTCTTTATTCCTTAGACTCCGCAGATATTCAATGCAGGGGGCGTCCCTCGGATCCTTGCTTTGGACTGTGGCCTCAAATATAATCAGATTCGATGTCTTTGCCAGCGTGGGGCTGAGGTCACTGTGGTTCCCTGGGACCATGAATTAGACAGCCAACGTGAGTAGCTGTGGCCTGCCCAGGGCTTCAGACCAGGAGCTTGGGTGGAAAATCAGTCCATCAGTCTAGTTGCTAGGAGCAACTTTTACTCCTGTAAAAATAGCATAGTCTCAGTGAAAAAGACGAGGCACCAGGGCTTCTGTTCATATGATAAGAGCTGTGGTTTGTCTCTTCTGGTTGAAATCCTATGTTCAATGATATCTTTTCTGCCCACTGCAGAGTATGATGGTCTTTTCCTAAGCAATGGCCCTGGTGATCCTGCCTCCTATCCCAGTGTGGTAGCCACACTGAGCCGTGTCTTATCTGAGCCTAATCCCCGACCTGTGTTTGGGATCTGCCTGGGACACCAATTGTTGGCCTTAGCCATTGGGGCTAAGACCTACAAGATGAGGTGAGACTTGTGAGAAGAGGAAGGTGACACAATTGTAACATGAGGGGGGCGTGGGGTACATTGGGGACTGGAAGAGAGTCAGAGAGTGTTAGTGTATGAACAAGAGTGGGGCTAGCAAGTAATGAGGGCCAGGAGAGCTAGGTTTGGCACAGAAGGAAAGAGAGTGAAAGGGGCCTGTGACTTGACATGCTTCTATCTCCAGATATGGGAATCGAGGCCATAACCAGCCCTGCTTGTTGGTGGGCTCTGGACGCTGCTTTCTGACATCCCAGAACCATGGGTTTGCTGTGGAAACAGACTCCCTGCCCATAGGCTGGGCTCCTCTCTTCACCAATGCCAATGATGGTTCTAATGAAGGCATTGTACACGACAACCTGCCATTCTTCAGGTGAGCCTGTATAGTCTTGCCAGGGTAACTGGCAAGTGTGTGGCTTTGAAGCCCTAGGGTCTTTGAAGATGGGGAAAGTAAAGCCCAGCAGTAGAACTGAGTCCCCTCTGTCCACTACCCACCTCTGAGGCTGCTGATGTCATGCCAGTGATAAAGCATCCAATCTCTTCAACAGTGTCCAGTTTCACCCAGAGCACCAAGCAGGTCCTTCAGATATGGAATTACTTTTTGATATCTTTCTGGAAACTGTGAAAGAGGCTGCAGCTGGCAACCCTGGAGGCCAGACAGGTAAGCACTCTGAGTAGAATTGGATTGTGGACCTAAACATAAGATCAACATGCCCCAGAAATACTTGTTGGAGTTTGGGAGTGGTGGGAACATAAGCAAGCTCAGACAGTTTATGTCACCTCTGTTAGGAACTCCAGAGTCATGAGTCCTGGGTTCTGGTGGTCCTCTCTCTGTCATTAGATGCATGATTTGTTCTGAACTCTTCTGAAAGTGAAGGGACTAATCCAGATGGTGTCTTGGGTCCCACTAAGCTGTGCCATTCCTTGACTTTATTTGTTTCTGCAGTTCGAGAACGGCTGGCCGAGCGCCTCTGTCCAGCTGGGCTTCCTGCCCCTGGCTCTGGTCTTCCACCACCACG